TTCTGAGAAAGCCAGGAGAATTATAAATTCTTATTATATTGGCTAAGATTACCTAAAGCAATAACCGTGGCAATAGGAGAGATCGCCCTAATTTACCAAGGCCAATCGCAACTCATCTCTGGAGTTAAAACATGTCTTTACTGCAGGAAATTACACGAGTGAATGTTGAAAGGGAAAACACTACCCACTATAAGTCAGGGCTTCTAGATAATGCTTCCTGACCTCGTGTAATCAAAAATTATACACACACACACACACACACACACATACACACACATACATATATATATATATGTAATCCAATCTATCAGTATCTTCTTTTACGGTTTTTGGATTTTATGTTTTGCTTAGGAAGACCTTTTTAATCTGAGGTTACAAAAATTTGCCTATGTTTTCTTCCAGTGTTCTTGTAATGTTCTTTTTAAAAAAGATCTTTAAATCTTTAAACCATTTGGAATTTATATTTGTTTATATATACATTTTTCCAAATGGGTAGCTATCCATCTCAACAAAATCAGCTTGTCAAATTTTATTTAAAAGTTTTACAAAAAAACCTTAGAATTGCATTGAATTTGTAGGATACTTCGGGGGTTTCAAGATTCATTCATATACGTAGATGGCACTACAGATTTAATTACCGAATTGGTCCACAGTAAAAGTGAGTTCTGTAGTCACGTGGGCTGTGATATCTTTCTGAGATGTGACACATTGTAAAACAAATTTGGAATGGAATTTTTATTTTATAGCTATGGGAAGTTCAATTTTCATGTTACAATTCTGGTTCAGTTCTACATTTAATGAATGCTGCTCTAAGCTAGATACAGTAATGATGTTTCAGTCAACGAGGGTCCACATATATGACAGTGGTCACATAAGATTACAATGAAGCTGAAAAATTCCTGTCGCCTAGTGATGACGTAGCTGCCTCAGTGCAACGCATTACTCACATGTTTGTGCTGATGCCGGTGTAAACCTGTGCTGCCAGCAGTATAAAAGCATAGCACATGCAATCATGTACCGTTCATAATACTTGATAATAAATGGCTCTATAAAAAATGGTTTCTATATTTGCTATACTATACTTTTTATCGTTAGCGTGTTCTTTCTAATGATGAAAAAAAGTTTTCTGTAAAGCATTATGCCGTGTTACGCCGGCAGCAGCCTCATGTCTCAAGTTCACTGCATCCCTTGATTGCATAATTTTCTCTTGCACCTGATGTAATCTGATATTGTTTTATAAATTTAGTGTAGCCAGCCCAAGTGTACGGTGTTTATAAAGTCTATGGTAGTGTCCAGTAATGCCCTAGCCTTCACACCCACTTACCTCACTGACTCACCTAGAGTACCCTGTAGTCCTGTAAGCTCCATTCCTGGCAAGTACGCTATGCAGGTGTGCCATTTCATATGTATGTTTAGATACAGATACCTTTGTGTTACAGTTGCCTGCAGAATTCAGTACAGTTGCATGCTGTACAGACAGGCTTGTAGCCTCGCAGCAACAGGCTACACCATACAGCCTAGTGTAAGTAGGCTCTACCATTTAGGTGTATAAAGCACTTTATGACGATCACACAATGATGAACTCGCCCAAACACATTTCTCAGACCACATTCCTATTAAGTGACACATGACTGTATTGTATATAAAATGATGGATAATGTGTATTTTCAATGCCCCTTGGTCTTACAGTCTAACGGGAAAGGCAGATAGGTAAACAGATAATCTATAATAACTCAGATGATAAATATCTGTACAGGATATCCCTGGGACACTAAAGAATCGTACCCGGCACAATGGAAGTATGACTTATGAAGCTTCTTGGAGAAGGCAATACGTGAGGGAAATCTTAAAGGAATGATAGAAGTTAGCGGAGCGAAGAGGCATTTTAGAGACGGGGTAAGGGATAGCAGAAAATAGGAGCCAAGTTCTCATGAGCAATTACGAAGTATGAAGTCGTGTATATGCCTTTTCTATAAGTAGATGTTGTAGAGTCTAAATCGTGTGTGGGGGTGGCTAGGGAGCCAGTAGTCCGACTGCAGAGGCCCTTGTAAACACCATACCAAGAACTTGGTATTTGTACTCCAGGCAACTGAGAACTACTAAAGATTTTAAGAAGTGAAGGAATGGTGACAAGTGGATTCGTATGTGAGAAAGATCACCCTATGGAATTTTAAAAGATGGATTGGAGTGGCTGAAATGGGTGCAGGGAGACCAGTTAGGAGGCTTTTTTGGCAGGCGAAGGGAAATGGGGGCCAGAAGGAGGAGGGAGAAGAGACACAAATATTTAGGAGGTAAAATCAGCAGGGTTTGGCGATTATGTCGGGAAGAGAAAGAAGGAAGAGTTGTAGTTAATACCCAGACAAGAGCTTAGGTGAATGGCTGGGTGACTGGGACCACAGGCAGGGGCCAGGGTTGCAGGAGGACAAGGCATGTGGATGATAAGTCAAAATTAAGACATGAGTTTCACTCATCTGTGGGAGTTACCCAGCCGGCAGCTGACTCTAAAGTTCAAGAGAAAGTCTAGACCACACCCTACATGGTAGCCATGAGTATATTGGTACTTATTTAAACAATGAGAAGGGGAAATGAGAACCACAGAAGAGCAGACAGATTAGCAAAAGTAAGCCAAAGCCCAAACCTTGAAGTCCATGACATTTAGTGGACAAGTAGTAGCAATAACTGACAGGGAGTAAACGTTTACTATATTTTACATGGATTCATTTTAATCCTCATAGCAATGCTAGGGATAAGGTACCCTTGTTATCCCTGTTTTTATAGAAGAGGAAACAGGCCCGGAAAGGCTCCATACACACTAACACACAGTAAGTGGAGGAGTTAGAAAGTCTGGCTCCACAGCCCAAGTCCTTAGCTGCTGTGTCCTGCCGCCTATGGATAAAGATAAGAGAATGTGGAGAAAAGGAGAGCACCTCAGAAGAGTAGGAAGTACTATCTCAAGGAAGGCATCGTCGGTATGTCAGGAAGCAGAGCAGTCCACCGAGAAGACCAGGAGAATGGTATGTGTTAGGCCTCTGTAGAGCAGTTTTGTGCCCTGTAGTAGTTTGGGCAGCAAATGGGCTGACAAGGAAATGGAGGCCGCAAGAGTGGACTACCGTGAAAAGTCTGATGAGAAAGAAAAGAGTCAGTGGTTATGTATTATAGGTTTGTTTTTAATTGTGGAATCCAAGGATGCTTATGGTATGGGAAAAACCAAGGTGAAAATGATACAGAAGAGTGGGGGGAAATCGATGGAGCGAAGTTCGAGGAAGAGCTTTTAATTTCCCGCGGTGTACCACTGTCCCGTTGAAGCACTCCCATTCATTTGCTGCCATAACCCATGTCCCGGCTTTTTTCTTACCTGTATTGAGAAGATGAATCCTTCTAAAACTCTTGGAATTCTTGTTTCTCTGTACATCCTTGCAAGGATTTACTCTCAGTTCTTTTTGTGCTATAGCTCTCCAGGCAATCTCATTCATCTATGTGTTAAAAAACCCCAAATCAGTGTACATCAGCCTCAAATCACAACATGCAGCTCCTCTATCTGACTGCCCTGACACCTTTTATATGTTACAGTTACCTCATACTCAGCATTTCCATAACTGGGCTCATTTGCGATGCCTCAGTTATAAGTATCTTCTCTACACCTATGCCCCAACACACACCATTTGTTCTCTTGGGTTTGACTTTGGTATGACCTCTGCCAAAACCTTTCCATAATTCTTCAAGACTTCCATAACTCAGTCCTTCACTGTTACGGTGCTCACTACAGTATATCATAGCTGCCATGGACACGTCTCATGCCTCCTTGAATGTAAGTTACCAGAGGGCAGGGTTTGTGCCTTCATCTCAAATATATCCTCTTTGTCTAATGAAAAACAAGAGTCTTGGATATAGAATCAAAAGCATATGTAAGGGGTTAACACCTTGAAAAGGAGGAAAGAACACCATATCCTATCTTTGGGACTAGACTAAAGCAAGCAAGAATAGTTGCTGATCTGTACATGTTTATAGGTTACGTAAGAAGTTGAAGGTGGTCAGGGATACAATTTTCATAGTAAAGTAGGAGGTAAGATGGTTTACTGAGAATGAGGAGAGGGTGGGGCAGCTTAGGTTTGGGGTTTGAAAGAGTAACGCAGAAACCATCAGGCTGAAGGAGAAGACCAAGAGGAGAACATCCACTTAGGGCCGAAGCGTGCTGTGGGCCTTTGGAGATTTCTAATACACTACTCAAACTGTTTCAGATTTAGATGTCTCACATCCGCCCCATTTCAGGTGTTTTTTCCATTCCTTGTAGTGATGAGCTTCTTCACAATGTTTAGGTCTGCAAACCAGTATTTTTCCCTGTAAGCTATAAACTTATTCCATTTGTCTGTGATAAAAATGGTGAGATTTAAAAACAAAATCCTTGTCTGACAGCTAAAAGACATCTTGCATATATTCCTACTTAATCCTATACTTCCCAAATATTTCCATGTGAAAAAAAGTAAAGATTGAAGTAAAACTCTTGTGCTTTATTTTTTTTAGAGTGAAAATGCCCATATTTCTTTTAATAATAAAAATGGAAATATGCTTATTTGAAAGTTTTGTTATGAACATGACTAGGTTGGGAACTTCATTCTTTAGCCTGGCAGAGTCTGATAATAAAATAATGGTAACTTTTCAACAAAAGAGTTTTCTAAGCACTATTTCTCTTACCAAACATTTGCAACTGATTCAGAGCACAGTGCTTTACCTTAACCACGTATAGATTCACACACACGTATAAGTATCTACGGACGTATATTATAAGATAAAAATGGAACACCATTTTTACAAGTAGTGGTCACATCTTTATAAAATGGGAATTTGAGTCCTGTAATGGCACTTATAAGTGAAATGTTCAAAACGAAGCTTGATGGAAGGAGTTGCTGAGAAACACTTGAATGTCTTTTCTTTGGGAGGAGAGTGATCAGGTACTGAACTCATGCAAAACAAGCAGCCCTGTTTGCTCCAGTGGAGGTACATGCTCTAGGCAGTATAGAGTCTTCTAGTGTATCCTTTGCCATTGAGAACATGCTACTGTTATCGTAAATGTAAATATACTATTTTTCTAAGACAGCCATGCCCCCTTTTTTTCAAAAGTATCACTGAAGGTGGCTGCAATTTATACTGTGGATACATAGCCTTCAGTAAAAGAAAGCATCTGCTATTAAAATCGCCCAAGTATTACTCCATCAGAAGACATTGCTACCTCTTAAGTTCCCTGTACTAAACATAGTCCATGAGTTCTTTTATTATTTTATTAATAATAAATATATTTGATGACATCCTATGCTTCAGCTGATTTCTCAGATAAGGCCTGGAGCAAATCTTTATAGACAGTGGAGTTCATGAATCGGGGATATGAGTCTCTGTGCATTAAGGTGTAAATCTGAAGTTGTGCATCATCGAATATATGTTGGGATGGCTCCACCATGTTCCTGTTGATGACTTCTCTTACTCGGGAGTCTAAGCTGACCTGTCAATAGAAACAAGTAGGAGTTATATTAGATACGTTTCTCTTTGGAAGTCCGTCCCAAACTCCCACAGCTTGTTTTGGTTTTTAAAAGTCCCAAGTCAAACAAGGTCATCCAGAAATCTAAACTGTCAAAAGAGACACTGACACATAACGAACAGGGGTTCTCAAACTTCAGCAGCAGCAGAAGCCCCTGGGAGGCTTGTCAAACAGACCGCTGGACCCCACCCGCAGAGCTCTGACTCAGTTGGTCTGGGGAGGAGCCTGATAATGTGTATTTCTCACAAGTGCCAGGTCATTCTGGTAGGGATCACACTGCTTTAGAAAAACACAGCATTGTTTTTCCTCTCTAAAATGAGTGTACTATGTCCTTTGAAGAAACAAGGTAGCGTGCATAGACTGACCCCTTGCTAAAGCCTAATAACGTTAGGGCTACAACCTGGAGGTCCCAGGCTGTGGCCGTCAGAAGAGTCGCGGATTCCTGGGGACAAGTGCCAGGCTGGCCGCCGAAGTGGTAGCCGACTCAGAAGCACTGTGGAAGGGTTAAAATCTTGGGGCCTGTGTTTAAATCCCAGCTCTGTCACTGCTTAATTGTGGGGCCTTGGCCAAAATAAATAGTATCCTAATGAACTGCTCCATAAAGTGGGGGTGATGGTGGTGAGAGCTGGTGAGGATTTATGGAGAATTTATTTAAACTACTTGGAATTCAGTCCTTAGGGGATGTTGGCTCATCCTAGACAAGGCTGGCTCCCAGAGCAGAGCAAGCTACTAGGCTCAGACTTTCCCACAGGGCAACAGACAAACAAGAGTAGAGGCCAAAGCAGCAAAGATGAATTCGCACTATTCCATTCCGTGTGAGGAACCTTAACTGGACCAGCTCTGCATCAGTAGGCCGTGATGGTTCCAGTGCTGTGCAATGCACACTTGCTTAATATAAAACTCAAAATATGACTAGCTAAGTCATTAGATATTGACTTCAATGATCTACCTTTCCAAATGAGTATATCTGCCCTCCTCCTGGAAAGGCTCTTTTGCCTACCCACAGGTAACTCAAACCTAATACATTGAAGACATTCCCAGCATCTCCAGATCTTTTTCTTGTATAGCTTATGAAAGAACGGAACTATTTATTCCCACCCAATTTGGAGTCCTGCTCATCCTTCATTTTCCCTCTGGCTCTATATTCAGTCACAAAGTCCTGGTGACCCTACCGCTTTAACAGCTCTTGAATCTGTCCACCTCTTCCTTCCTGTCTGCCGTGCCCCTTGTGGCGGCTCACTCACCGTGTCCTGCCGGACTTGTTCGCCAGCCTCCTAACTGGTCTCCTGCTGTCAATTTCGTACCTTTCCAAACCGCGCCATGGTTTGGCCAGAGGGATCTCTCTACAGCAAACCCTGTCCTGACACTCCAGCTTCAGCCCTTGCACTGGCTTGTTGTATTCTCAGGATCAAGTCCAAAGCTTACAAATTCCAAGTTGAAACTTATGAACCCCTTTATGATCTGCTTCCACTAATTCCCCAGCTCACTATTCCACACAAGAACTTAAAGGACTTGGAATTCCCTTGGAATTTAAAGAAAGGAGGAGCTAGAACTAGCCTGTCTTTCTTCCTTCTGTCTAGAATAAACCTTTCCTCCTCCTCCGCCTGGCTGACTGTACTTCTTCAGATCTTGGTTTAGATGTCGCTCCCTCATCCTGGGAAGGCTTCCCAACCCTCTGAGCTCATCTGTAAGGCAGCACTCGCCACTAGGCAATCCTCCCCTAGACGCTTCTTGAGTCTAAGGGACCAGTTCTTGGGAGCACAGCTCCTGCCATGGGGGACTCAGTACATACTGATGGCTGAAAGGAGGAACGCTCCTGTTCTTGTTAGACAATCAGACTGAGTTATTGTAGAAAACATCAAAAAATATTCTGGTTCACAAACACTTGAGGCACAGATGGAACTGTTTCATTCTCTACAGCCTCCACATGAAGAATATCGCTGTGAATGCAGGGTCAAGACAGCGCCTGGTCAGGACAGGTAAACGAACACAGGGTCACTGAGAGTGGCTCTCAGGTATGCCGGCTCTACCAGGGGCTGGGGCTGGGCTTTGCACTGTCCCCTTTCCCAAGCCTCCCACACGTATAGGTAAATGGCGATGTCCCCTTCGTACACATGAGGAAACAGGTATCGAGGTTCAGAAATACACGCAAGGTTTATGTCTCTGTTAAATGAGAGAACTGGGATTCAAACCCAGGTGAATCTGAACCCAAAGCTACGCTCTTAAAAGTTTTAAGCTTTTACATTTCAAGTAATAAAGGCTTATCTTTGGGAGGAAAGCGTCATCTTTTTGTGTCATTTTTGCTTCATAAATTTGCTAAGAAGTATTTTGTTTGTATAATGTTTTAAAGGATAGTGATGAAAAATCTTGCTTTAAAATAAAAAGGGAAACCATGACAAAATGAAAACATGTGGAAGCCATAAACTGAAGGATAAAAATTCTTTTGCTTTTTATTAATCCAAAATGGAAATAACTTTCTGAACTCCGTATTCATACAACTGACAACTGAACATCTCCAACTTCATGGTACGAAGGTAAGTAAGCAAAATTGAGCTCCAGTCCTTCTACCAAGCATGCTCCCCGTCTTCTCTGCCCAGTTTCAGCTAACTGCACACCACCTGGTCTGCCCAAGCCATACATGTGGGGGTCATCGCAGACACTGGGATTGCCCTCACATCAAATCCTTCCTCCCCAGTTTCCCTTCTGCGGGCTGAGTCAGGCGCTCATCACTTCCGGTTTGGACTACTTAGTTGATTCTCTATCTTCTGCCTCTAGTCATCTTCTCCAAATCCATTCTGTAGCCATACTGGTCTTTCAAAAATCCAAACTTGTTGATATTACCAGGCAAAAATCCAAGGGCTTCCCAGGATAGAAATCAGAAAACCTATCATGGCTCCCAAATCCCTCGATGCCCTGGGACCATCCACTGTCCTCACCCTCCTCCTACTGCTTGACATCAGCCTTCACAGTGTGGTAAACATGCAACACTTCGGTCATAACTAACTACTGACACTTTCACTGTGATATGACTGAACACTTTTATCCTAGGCCCATCTAGTCCTATCTTCTGGGATGTCTTCATCCTCTTGAGTTTCTTATCATTTCCTTTATATTATCTACAGCCTCTCCTAGTATGTCTCTCCCATTCCTGCCCAATCTACTGCTGATGGCTGACTGCACCAGCCCCTGTTAGGGCTCTGAGGTGTCTTGCCAGGGGCTCCGGGTCTTGTCGCCCCCTCATCCATGAGTTCTCTGACAGGAGAGGCCCTGTCAGAGAATAACTTTATATTCTTAGTGGCACATAGTATGAAATAACGAATGATTTTATAATTAGAGCTACAAGACACTTAGTTTTGAGACCAACCTAACCTAGATTTTGGATTCAAAAGAACAAAATCTCTGAGAGAGGAAACCTTGCTTGATTTCACTCATAACTTCTGATATTAAAAAAGGACACCCTGGAGAAAGCTGCTGAAGCATCAGTATCATATAAGTGATGCTATTACTATACAAAATAGAGATACCTATAAACAAGATTTTGCTCAGAATCGAAAGATAAATTTATAGGGTGTAATATTTTTAAACAGTATTAATAGTAAAATGTAGACCACCTCTTCTGGAGAATCTGATCAAAGTTATGGATACTTTTTCCAGAGAGAAATGCCTGAAATCTTTCACAGATTTCACAGTGTACTTGGAGCCCATTGGTGGGACCATGGTCAAAGAGATCTGAATATAGTTGGCCCTCGGGTTGAGGCGCCAAACCCCTGTGTAGTCAAATATCCACGTATAACTTTTGACTTGCCAAAACTTTACTACTAGCCTACTGTTGACTGGAATCCTTACCAATAACATAAACAGTCAGTTAACACGTATTTTGTATGTTATATGTATTATATACTATATTCTTACAATCAAATAAGCTAGAGAAAAGAAAACGTTACTAAGAAAATCATAAGAGAAAATACATTTACAGTAGTGTACTGCGTTTACTGAAAAAAATTTGCATGTAAGTGAACCTGCACAGTTCAAATCAGTGTTGTTCAAGGGTCACCTGCACTATGGATAGTGGGTGGAGTCATTTTCTATATTTTGGAGTAGCTGTATTTGTGCCAGGTGGCCAAACAGAAGGGGTTAATTTTAACCCTTTGGCCTCCTGGGAGAAAACCCTACAGTAGGTACATACCTCTTTAGGAGAAAGAATAGAAATGTAGTCTTCATATATCATCCTTGCTTTCTCTTCAATAATGTTTTTATTAACTTCTTTTTTCAGTTCCTCACAGGCCATCCAGAAAAGCATATTTTCTTCACTGAATTCTGTTCGGAGGAATTCACGGAAAGCATTCCTTCCTGCTGGAGTGAGCATTAACTTGTCGAATGACTGTGCCCAGGCTCTGACTTCTTCCAGAGTAGGAGTCGGGCTTCGTGGAGACAGGAAGAAAGGGCCAAAGGGAGTTATGTTATTGGTTAATTTGAATTTCATCACTAGAAACCTATCTTTTTCCTCCCTGAGAGTGACAATGTGCACACAGGCCCTTTTAGGAAGGGAAAGAACTGTTCTCGTTTCTTTAAGCCTTTAATAAAAACATGAATTTGGTACTTTCAAATTGTTCAGCTGGATTGCATGGCTACTACCAAAATGCCTGTAAACCAAATTGCCAGAATAACTGCTGAGAATGTACTTGTTCGCATTTAGGCACATCCTGGCAGTTTTTAAATTATAAAAGAGAAATCCTATGACCATCTAAGCAAGAACTCCCCAATCACGTGACAGACCTGTCAGCCCTGACCACAGTGACTTCCAGAACAGCAATGGGGCAGTGTCTACTCAGTACTTTTTTAAGTGCGAAAGAGAATTTTAACGAGAAAGAGAAAAGAACATAAATTATACAACTGCAAGTTATGAAGGGTGACAACAAAAATGAGCACTTATGAATTCGCCATTTTCCTTAAGAACCAGGCTGTCACCAACAGCTGTGTTTACGTCTGCACATGGCTCTCTTGACCCTCCCCCGTCACTGAGGGAACCACTATTCTTGACTTTGGACTTTCCGTTTTAGTTGATTTTTTAATTTACATTTATAATTATATCAAGGTCAGAAAACATGGTCTGTTTAATAATGATCCTTATTATTTCTTTTCCCTTACCCTTATTTTTCATCGTTTTTAGTATGTATGTATCCCTGAAGAACATATTCTTTAGTTGTTTTTTCTTAACTTTATAAAAATGGCTTATTATATGTTGTCTTTTGCAGCTTCCTTTTTTCACCCAACATTGTCTAAGATTCATTCACCCACATTGCTGTACATGGCCACAGTTCCTGAACAGGATTCATAACTAATTTTCCATTTTCGTACTGTCCTCATCTGGTTTTGGTATCGCTGTTATACTGGCCTCTTAGATTTCTGGGTAGTTAGATAAGACTTGTATAACCTTGGAATGACCAATGCCTAAAATGTTTCATGGAACTAATCTGTAAAACCAGTTGGATCCACTGTTTCATAGGAAGGTGTTAAGAGTTGAACTGTGTCCACTAACAAAGACATGTTGAAGTCCTCAGCACCTCAGGATATGAGCTTATTTGGAAAGAGGGTCTTTGCAGATGTAATCACATTGAGTTCATTAGGGTGAACCCTAACTCAATGTGACTGGTGTTCTTACAAAAGGGGAATTTGGACACATGGAGACAGACACAGGGGGAAGACGTCATGAAGACACACGGAAAATACAGTCATGTGACTAGCATGAAATATCTACAGGCTGAGGAACACCAAGGATTGCTGGCAATTACCAGAGAAGCTAGAAGCAGTGAGGATAGATTGTCCCCTAGAGCCATCAGAGAGCACAGCCCTGCTGACACCTTGAGTTTGGACTTCTGGTCTCAAGAAAATAATATTCAAAAAATTAAGAAAAAATAACAGAGAGATCTCATGTACCATGTGCCCAGTTTTCCCCACAGTAACATCCTGCAGAACTACAGGACAACTTGAAGTCCTGGATATATTTGAGAGTTGAATTCTGCTTACTCAGTTCTGTGATTCGATATTTAATTAGTTTAAACATTTTAGAAACCATTATTTTATATTTCATTACAGATACTTATAACATCTTTAGGCCTTTGGGCTCTAAATCTAAGTGTTGTTTCTACTGACTCTCATTTGGGGTGAGTGGTTTCCTTTTAGTTTTGTAACTTCTGGTTTTTCTCAATCTTTGGGAAACTGCAAGTCGAAATTGAGAATGTTTCTTTTCCTCCAAAGAAGATGTGTGTTTGCCCCTTATGAGATCTCAGAGGTGTTACCGACTCAGGACCACTTCAGCTCCCTTCACAGATCAGGGCTAATCTGAGAGACTGTTTTAACACCTTGCCCCCACCCCACTCTGCACTTGCCCTTGGAGAAAACTCTTCTTTCCTGTGCTTAGCAGTCCCTACTCAGTGTTTTGCTTACTTTTTTTTGGTTTGTTTTCCAGGTACTTTGTCATTTTTTTACTTTCAGTGAGCCCAGCACTGCAAAAACTTTGAGACTTATGCAAAATCAGTTATTCAGTGTTGGAAAGTCCCTCAGATTATCCACTATGACACAAGGCCCAAAGAGCTCTATTTAGTTTCGAGGGTAAAGCATGTATACCCAAAATATGCTGTGTAGGTAACTTGTCCTAATTACACGAAGATCATAGAAAAAAACACTCTCACCTATACAAAGATTCACAATGTAAATTCTATGTCCTTTTCTTGAAATCATATCTTGAAGATAGATTACAACGGACCCAGCAGTGCAACATAAATGAAAAGCTCAAGACCAGAGAAAGTGGCTTATAGAAAGAGAGTAGTTGGCAGAGAAAACAATCAAACCTAGACGTCTAAACAATAGTTTCAAGTTCAGTTTCAAAAAGAGATTCAGTGTGTAAGATGGATTCCATTTCATTACAACTGAATCCACAGACAACCCTTTGAGGATATAAAAAGAAACTATTGATGGCAGTTGTATATCTGGAGATTGGGATGAGGTCTAGAATAAGAGGAAGATTGAGTTTTATTGTAAAACTTTTCTATTACTTGATTGTTTTTTTTATAGTGGGTATTTAAATTTTCCTCATGAAGAAAGTTTTCTATGTGAAAACATAAAATATAAAATTAATTTTCTAGTTAACTAGAAACTTAGTTTTGAAAGATGTTTAAAAGAGAATTTAAAAATAATAACAAGCGAAATAAGCCAGACAGAAAAAGTTGATAATCACATGATATCACTTATATGTGGAATATAAACCTAAAAGCAACAAACAAACAGGACAAACAGAGACTCATGGACATGGACAATGGACTAGTGGTTACCAGAGGGGAGAGGGGAGGTAGTTGGGGGAAAAATTTTTAAATTATTTTTTCAATTAAAAAATTTTTAATAAATTTAAAAATAAATTTAAAAAATAAAAAATAAAAATAATAAGAAAGTAATCTATGTAAAAATCCTGGATTCTTTTTAGAAAGGTTAATTAAATTGGTGAGGCTTAGTAAAGTGTGCTAAATTCTGTTCCTTAAATATGAGGATTCAAAAGATATCTTTTCACTCCTGTCAGTTTAAGAAACATATATTAAAGAATGATTTTGAAAAACTTAAAGATAAAATCATTAGTACATTTAAAAAAAAAAAGAGCATATACTTTTCATAGTACTGAAGAACCTCAGAGCAAAGAAATCACAGTTCATATAGCAAAAAGAAAAAAACAGAAAAGAAAAAAAAATTAAGGAGATAATTCGGCGGTATTACAAGCAGACTATCAAAGAATATGCTAGAAGATTAAACATATTAGTAATCATCAAAATAACGAGCCCAATGTAATTGGATTCTAATTATCTATTTAGACACAAAGGCTCAAACTAGGCCAAAATCCAACATTGGGAAACATACAAAGTATTACCAAAAGTTAAAGACAAAGGCATGAAAAGATACATGACGCAAATGCAAATAAGAATAATATTAATATATAAGTAGAATAGGAAGCAACAGGAATTAAATTGAATAAAGAGTCCTTTTATATCACTGGATATGACTGAGAACTAATAATGGCCAACATATATTGAATGCTTGCCTCTTTCCAGGCTCTATTCTCAGTGCTTTACTGGTATTATTTAATATTCACAACAACCTTTCTTTGGCTTAGCTACAATAAACTCTGATTATCCCCATTTTACACATAAGGAATGAGAGGCATAATGTGGCTACTAAGGAAAGTGCCCAAGGTCCCAAGGTCCTGCTGGCAAGATAAGTAGAGCCAGATATAGACGTTCTGGTTTCAGATAGAACAGCCTCAAAGCTTTGGTACAGAACACAATACACTGGAATATATAAGATAAAAGCTATTTTTAACAAACTCAAGTTGTGGAAGGTTTTAATGTGCTTCCTAGACTTGGAAAAATCTGGGTAAGAATAAATAAGATAAAGAATAGAGAAAAACATTTAATAATCTTTTAGACTACTTGTTTTTTTCCATTAAAAATAAGCAATATAATACAAGACCTTATTTGATCAATGCTTTTAGGATATTTGTTTAGCATTTGCAATTATATAGGCATAATACCAAGGAAAGGTATAAGAATAGGCAAGTGAAAGTAAATCAATTGATACTAAAGGTGGGAAAAGAGACAATTTTGGAATTATGGAAAGTAATTTATGTGGGTTTCTCTCCCTCCAACTTTTTTGAAATACTTAAATTTAAAAAATAATACATTGATGGAAGTATAAGTTAACAGTTAAGGAAAAAATGAATTTTTAAAACTTTCCTGAAAACCAAACATGTTTGTTTCATTATGGTCTTTTATTTAAAAAATATACATATAAAAATAAAATAATGTCATATTTTATCAATTTATATTTGTGATTAGCAAGGATTAGATTAATAATAGAACTGATTTTTCTCTTTGTCACACAATGAATTAAAAGGAAATCTATAGAGTGAAAATGTGATGCCACATTATGATTGGTATTATTTAATTGCAGTTAGAGAAAATGTGTTCACTGAAACATAATCCCCCACTCCCACCCCACCTCCCCCCAAAAAAGGAAAAACACAAGGAAAGCATTTCTGTCAATTTAGTGAGCTAAACAAATGAGATTTTACCTTTCTTCACAGATTGGAAGGTCGTCTCTTCTGAGTTCACGAGAAGTCCTCCTGAGTCTCTGTTCTTGGTTTCTAACCGTGAGACTGCACAAAACAAGACATTTACATATCAGTTGAGATCACTCTGTATCGAAAAAAGCTTTTTTACAAATATTCTAAAAAGAACTCCAGATTATCAAGTAGAACTTTTCCCGAAAAAAAAAAAAAAATGACCCTGATTTGTTTTCTTAAGAAAATCAGAAGTATGACAGCAAAGTATTAGCAAAATAAATTATATTTATAATATTGCGGTCTACACTAATTGAGAGAGAGTATACATTTAGAATAATTGTTTTTGTAAAATTGTGTCCATCAGAAAGTAGTAAAAAGGAAAGATTATCAGGATATTTTGGGTTTTCATTTTCTTTATTTTTCATTCTTTAAATTTTTATTTCATTTCATTTCATTTCTAGCACCTTGAAAAGAAGTATATATTCTCTAGACCTTGCAGTCAAAATGGAAGTTTTATATATTTATAGGCACACATACAAAAGTATTAGAGAGAACCAAGAAAGTGTACAATAAAAATCTACAGTATCTTTTGAGAGGTTAAGTTTCATTATATATTTTGTACATTTCTTTCTAATTTTATTCTAAGTATTTTTGTTGTTATTATAAATGGAATTTTCACTTCTATCTCATCTTCTAACTAGTTATACACAGCATAAAGTTACCTGTTTAAAGTGTACAATTAAGTGGTTTTTAGCATAATTACAAAGTTGTACAACTATCACTACTAATTTCATAACATTTTTATCACTCCGAAAAGAAGCCCATCCCTATTCGCAGTCACTCCTCATTACACCCTATATCTCGTCTCCACAGGCATACATGCATTTACTTTCTGTCTCTATAGATTTGCTTAGTCTGAATTATATACAATATGTGGTCTTTTGGGGCTAGCTTCATCCACTTGGTATGATGTTTTCAAGGTTCATATATGTTGTAGCATGTATCAGTACTTCATTCCTTTTTACAGCTTAATAATATTCCATTATATGGATAGACCAAAATTTGTTATCCATTTACCAGCTGATGAACATTTAGGTTGTTTGCAGTTTTTGGCTAATTAGAATAAAATAATTTGTCTATGAACAGTCATACACAAGTTTTTGTGTGGATGTCTGTTTTTATTTCTTTGAGTTAGACACCTAAGAGCGGAACTGCTTTCATATGGTAACTCAGTCCCAAATTGTTTTCCAAAACAGCTGTCCCATTTTACACTCCCATGAGCAATTTTAGAGCGATCCAATTTCTCTACATCCTTGTAAACACTTGTTATTGTCTATATTTTTTATTCTAGCTATTTAAGCGGATATAAAGTAGTATCTCCCTGTGGTTCTGACTTGCATTTTGCTAATGACTAATGACATTGAGCATTTTTTCATGTATTTATTAGCTATTTGTACATCTTTAGAGACTCGTATAATCACATCCTTTGCCCATTTTTAAACTGGTTTGTCTTTTCAATTTTAAGAGATTTTTACCTTCTGAAGGCTTATTCTTATGCTAATTTTTTATCTTTCTTCTTATTGAATTCTTTTGTGTTTGCATCAGTTTAGCCATAATTCTCTTGGGATTTCCAGGTATATTCTCATATCATCTGCAAACAGGGACAGCTAATCCTTGTTCTCCAATTCTTAGACCTCAAGTTGTCTTCTCTTGCCTACTTGCGTTGATGGATACCTACAGTACAATGTTAAATAGTAGAAGAGATCACAGATATCCTTACTTTGTTCTTGTTTTAAAAAATTTTTAAATTTTTAAATTTTAATGTTTCAAGTATACGGTACATTAGTTAGACATCTATATAGTTAGTAAAATGATCCCCCCAGTTGCTCCCTTCCCCCCCTGACCCTCCGCCTAGCCAATGTATTAGTGCTAACTGCATTCTCTATGCCATGCTCCCCATCCCTGTGACCATCCATCAGCTACAAATTTGTACTTCTTTAACCCTTCACCTTATTCTCCCAGACCCTCAAACACCCTTCGCCTCTGTCCGTCACCAAATTGTCCACTATATTTCTGAGTCCATTTTTTATTAGTTTGTTCATTTTATTCCTTCAATTCCCCAAGTAAGTGAAATCATATAGTGTTTATCTTTCTCTGTTTGACTTAAATACCTTCTAGGTTCATCAAAGCAGTATCTTTTTCCATTCCCTTCCTTTTCATATATAGGGATCTTGTTTTCTTATCCTTTCAGTCACTCTAATTTTTGGTCGGAGCACTTAATTTTTTTCCATTTAAGGTACTTATTGATAGGAATGTAGTCGTTACCATTCTTTATTCCTGTTTTTGATACATGTTTTTTCTTCTTAACGAAGTCCCTCCAACATTTCCTGGAATACTGGCTTGGTGGTGATAAATTCCTTTAGCTTATTTTTGTCTGGGAAGCTCTTTATCTGTCCGTCAACTCGAAATAATAGCTTTACTGGATAAATTATCCTGTCGAATATTTTTTTTGCCAAGCCCTTCTGTCTTACATAGTTTCTTTTGAGAAATCAACTGCCAGTCTTATGGGTGTTCCTTTATAGGTAATGATCTGTTTTTCTCTTGCTGCTTTTAAGGTTCTCTCTTTGTATTTAAGCTTTGGCATTTTAATTATGATGTGTCTTGGTGTGGGCCTCTTTGAATCCCTCATTTTGGAATTCTCTGAGCTTCTTGGGGTTTTATGTCCATTTCCTTCACCAGGTTAGGAAAGTTTTCCATCATTATTTCTTCAAACAGCTGTTCAACCTCTTGATTTTCATCAGTTATGCTGATCAAACGAATATTTGGAGCCTTAATAGCGTCCCATATCCTCCTTAAATTATTTCTATAGTCTTGGCATCTTTTTTCTTGCTATTCAGATTGAGTGTCCTGATTTGCTTTCCCATTCTCTAGATAGGGCATGTGATCCTCTTCTTTATTCACTTTGTTTATTCCTTTGTTTATTCCATTTAATATACTTCTCATCTCAGATACTGTGTTCTTCATATCAGACTGGTTTCCTTTTATAATTTACATTTCTATTTTTCTCTCTTTGTTGGAGTTCTCTAAGCTTCCAAAGTTCTTTGAGCATCTTTATAACCAGTGTTTTGAACTCTGCATCTGTTAGATTACTTGACTCTATTATATTTAGATTTCTGTTCTGTCATATGGTTTCTGCTTCTTTGTCTTCCCATTTTGGCTGCCTTTGTGTGTCTGTTTCTATGTAGTAAGCAAAGCTCCTAAGTCTCCTGGTCTTATTAGTGTGGATTTGTGAAGTAGGTGTCCTGGGGCACAGTTCTGAGAGGGGTTCAGCTGCAGGCCAAACTTAGCTCAAGCCTCTACCCCTCCGGGTCCACCCATTAAGTTCAGCAAGTAATCCACAGATGCTGTGCTTATAGTTGCCTCAAAAGGCCACACCAGAAACCGAGGCCAGCTGCCTCCACCAATGTGAGTCTCAGCAAGGAGCACCTGCCTCACTGAGGATATACCTGGATGTACTTGGGTGGGGCCTCAAGTTGGGAGAGGCAGGGTTTCAGGGAATCCTCTGGGCGGGGCAACCCTTGTTATCCAGTTTGATTAGATCAAAGCTATGGCAGAACTGTGTCCGGCGCACTGGGAGAGGCAAGGCTCAATAGGGAACAGTGGATACCACCAGCACTTCTGTATCAAGAGAGTCTCTCCTCAGCCCTCACTCTGACAATGTCTTCCTGTAAGTCTCTGGTGCCCCCTGTGCGCAGCCAAATCGGCACTGGTGCTAGAGCAAGCAGATATGTCACCATGTAAATCTGCTCCTGGACGAAGTCCCTTTAAGATGTGTCTTCTGCTGCTGCAGCCTCCGTATCACTCAGCTGCTCAGGACCAGGCCGCCCCAGGTCCTCGCCCTGTCCTACCTTCTGCCGTTGCAGGGTGCTTTCTTGGATTTCTCTGTAGTCGTTTGGCTTGTTCATCTAGATCCTAGGTGATTTTTCTTTGCTGCTACTCCTTGTTTCTGTCATAACTTTGATTTGGTCTCCAGAGGGATGAACAGAGCCTCTATCATCTATGCTATTTTTATCTCCCCCATCCTTGCTTTGTTCTTGATTTCAGCAAGAATGCTTTTAGTTTCCCTTTAATATCAAAATGGATTTTTGTCATTGATTATGAGTTTGCTTTTCTTACTATTGCTACTGTATCTTACTAGTTTGCTTTATCTTACTAGAGCTACTATGTAGCTCTATTTTTCCTTAAATGAAAAGTCTTTAGAAATGCAGCAATTCTTCTGTGTTGTTGCTTTCATGATGCCAGGTATAAGAAGTTTCAGTAAATAATGGTTTCTTAAAACAAAAACAAAAACAAACTTGAGAGACACCTGGATGGTATTCTCTATGCAGGAGCGTTAACACTGGCTTCCTTGGCTTCTTTTGTTAAGCAAAACATTACTACATGGTGGGTATGAAAAAGCAAAGAAAGAAAGAAGGATGAGCTTGACACAAGATTCCTAGGAGAACTGGAAGTTATACTGTGAACCAAATAATGCAATTATTTAAGCTTTGACATTTTTTCCATGTCTCATTTTTTAAAAAGTAGGAATGTTTAAGGAGACAATATGTTCTTGAAAAAATGAATAATATATTTTGTGTCAATATTTTAAATCCAAGTTAAATTATTATTGTTACAGTAGAACAAGAAAATGTTGATAGAAGCCCAAATCGTTTCTCACCATGTTTAAGAATTATTCAGTAAAAGAAGACCCAAGTTAGATATATTTTGGTAAATTTTTGAGTTTTAAAAAGGAAAAAAATTATTCAATCTTCTAGAAAGGAAAAAAAAGTTTGTCAAGAGATCAAGAACCTGCATGACTTCTTTTATAAAATGAAATATGAGAAGGCTATGAAGCAGAATTCTGAGAAAGATAATACAAGGACTTAGAAAATGCGTGGCCATCTACCTTTCTTAAAAATTGACTCTACTATGTATTATCAACATAGATAAATCTCAGCATGGATAAATCTCTGGCTATATATTTTTTCCCATTCCATTTCCCCTCTAACTCAGAGATAACCATCATCTTTAATTTGTTGTTTATCATTACCATTTATAGTTAATTACTCTCTCTACATATGTATAAATATGTAAATATACAAAGAGATTTTCAAATTTCGTAAAAATGTTATTATACAATATGCATTGCTTTAGAATTTTTCTTCCCTCTAGCACATGAATTTAAATGCTGTGTGGTATTATCGCGTTGTATAATTATACCATGACTTATTTATCTATTCCTTTGTTCCTGAACTTCGGAGACATTTTCAATTTTTCCTCAATCAGATTAATGCTGCAGTGAATCCTCTTACACTTGTCTCCTTTTGCATGTGTGCGAGAGGTTTTTCTAGGGCATGGCACAATATTTAGAAAGGTATGTATTAAACTTTCATATATCTGATCCTTGTTAGTAGAAGTGGATTATCTAACTTTTCTTCTGGTCATTATTTTCTTATTAATCTCCTGAAGTTCTTGATATATTCTAGATTTGAATTGTTAAATGCTTTGTAACTATCTTCTCTCAGTATGTTTTATCTGTTCATTTTATTTCTTATATCTTTTGTTAAACACATTTTAAAAACAGCTTTATTAAGATACAATTCACACACCATACAACTCATAATTTAAATGGTACAAATCAATGGTTTTTGGTATAGTTATATAGTTGTGCAAACATCACTATGATTTTAGAACATTTCATCACTCCAAAAAAAAAACTATGCATTCACACTCACTCCCATTTCCCTCATCCCCAGGCAACCACTAATCTACCTTCTATGAGTTTACCTATTCTGGACATTTCATAAAAATTGAAACAGAAAATATGCAGTCTTTTTGTGTCTGGCTTCTTGCACTTACAATAATGTTTTCAAGGTTCATCCACGTTTCAGCAGTTTCAGTACTTCCTGCCTTTTATGGCTGATTACTGTTCCATAATTGGATGGTACCACATTTTGTTTCATTCATCAGTTGATGGACATTTAGGTTGTTTCCACTTTTTGGCTGATGTGAATCATGCGGCTATGAATATTCATGTACAGCCTTTGTGTGCAATATGTTTTATATCTCTTATTGAATACATTTTTACATTTTAATGTAGCTAGATTTATGATTCTTCTTCTTTTATAGATTTTGCTGTAATTCTTATGAACACTGGCGCTAAAGCCAAGATAGTCCTGGGCAACTGGGATGAGCTGGTCACCCTAATACCAAATACCTTGCTATTTATAGAATAGTTCATTCTCTCTTTTGCTAAAGCCACTTTTGTCATATGCTGACAAAATTTTCTATATTTCTTTTGTTGTCTTCCATTGATGTGGAAACTATATACTGTATTTCTGACTAATCATGAATAATACCATTAATTTTGAAAGAGAATGTTCTTGTAATTTTTTTTCAACGAAAGTCTGAAGTTATTGCTTTATCTATCATTAACATGAGATTATATGTTTACAGCTTTGGCTTTATACTTTTTAACACAAAAATAAATACCAAGTTTTATAGCTATATTTTTTCCCTCTTATGGCCATCATCGTTATTTATCTCCCATAACTACCTTCTGGGTTCACTTATTTTTTCCTGAAGTACATTCTTTCTTAGTTCTTTTAGGGAGGGTCTAAAGGTAGTTAACTTTCTTGGCCCTTGTATGTCCGAAAATGTCAAATTTTATCCATACTCTTGAATTATAGTTTGACTAAATTTACAGTTACTTTTCTCTAGGACTTCGAAGATATTGCTATTGTCTCTCATATACACACGTGACACGTGCTACATAAGTGGTGCCTCTGATGATGACATCTAGGTGCAGATTTATATTTTATTCACCCCAGTTGGTGCTAGTAGGGGAAGCCTGTTCTAAGACCTACCACCACCTTATGCCATACATTGTTCAGGCCACCATCTCAGACTCTTCTGCCTTTCTAAGACAATAGAGAAGGAAGAGGGGACAGAGTAAATGCCAGCTGGGAGTCTCACCTGCACCAGGATATCTTTGCACAGCTCTCAGACAATCATCTCTAATCATATCACTGAGACTGATTAACAGGGTGAAATAGCAGAGAGGGGCCTAGTCTCTTCATAACTGGTGTATAGGCTCCCGGCCTAGGGTGGGTCCTAGACACCCATGTGTGTAGGGTGTGTCAACATGTGCCTCAGCTCCAATTTCTAACCTAGTCTTCTAAATTCCTACTTGGAGCCGAAGTCTCACCTTGAATGCCAGACCGCTTACCTCTTGTCAGCCCTGACTCTCCCACATTCCCACTTACTGTCTGGGTTCTGTCCCAAGTGGACACATCACCCAGCATCATGATTCTTTTAGTCCTTGGAGTATTGTATTGCTGGATCCCATTCCCCAGACTGGGACTTCTTGGAAATTAACACGAGCCCAAGTCAAGTGGGAGCAGACCAAACTTTCCCGGACATTTCATTTTCAACCTCCACTCCCACAGCCCAATTGTGTCTCTGTTCTGGATCAGTTACAAAATCCTTCTTCACTGGATAGTGAGGTCTTGGTCTAACTTGTAGTCAAGCCTACATAAATTTTCAAGAATTTAATAGCCTAAAGTTATGGCACTAAGCACTTTTCAGAGCACAATTTCAGAAACACAACTTAATGTTCCCATGATTTCTAGGTGTGAATTACATACATTTCTCCAGACTTTTAACTGTGACTCAAATGGTCAATGATGCTTTATGTTCAAGCTGCATACCTCTTTTTTAAAGCAGTGATTATGTATTTCCTCTATCAGTAAGTTAGCCTAAATTTAAAATTTTTTTTCTCCCCGTTAAGCATATATTTTGACATTTCCCTTTCTTAAAAAACAAAAAACAAATTAATAAAGCAAAGCAGCAGAGGATAAAATCCAGGCTCTTTCTACTTCACAATGCTAACTTTTAAAAGCCATCTTAAATTCTAACTCCCCAACAAAGCCTTTATGCCCAACTAGAGTGCTTTGAGTTCACTCCTTTCTAAACATCTAGACAACCGTTTCTGCCCAAGTAGTAATATTCAGTCATCAACTGCCTTCGATTGTTTTTTAGTTGTTTGACATATGTCAGCCTGATTTCAGGGATATAGGTCCCTCAAGGGCTCGGATGTAGCCTTTTGTTTTTTTGTTGTTGTTGTCGTTGTCCCTCACAAAACCTACAGGTATATGGGAGTTGTTTAAAAAACACTTGAGTCAATCATAAATTGGCACAATTCAGGGGCACCATTTACCAATCAGGAGCACATTAATAAGAAAGCCTCAAACCTCACCAAGAACAGCTACAACAGCAGCACCAGCAGAAGCAACATGCATTGGATCCTCGGTTGCCCACCCCTTGCTGGCCTGGAAGGGGGTCTGCTGGCTCCTGAGCTGCCGACATCTGCCGCTTCCGCATCTCCATCCGTTCTGATCCCATCAGCTGCAACAACAAAAGTAAAAGGGGTTGGGGTGGGGGCAGACTTAGCACCACATAAGCCCAGAGAGTCAGCTGTCTGAATCACTGAGGAGATGTCATGTGACTATACCCAGGTCATTTCTGCTAATTCTGGTAAAATTTGGTGCTTAGAATCCATTAATTTGTCAAACATATATTCAATGTCTAGCGTCTGCCAAACACTGTGATAAATTGTAATAAAATGTCAATTGAAAGGCCCCCGCCCTACGGCGCTCACAGTCAAGTAAAGAAAACAAACACCGACAACACTTACACTGGAGACTTGCAGTAGGGGCATTTCCCAGCTCCAGGGTTCCCTTTGGGCTGAACCAACAGGGAACAGATGAATTAGGCTGCCCATGGGGCCGGAGCACGGATACGGGAGGAGGCCACACCAAAAATGTCAGGCACACTAACAAAGCAGTACAAGGAAATGTCAGAAGAGCAAAGACAGCAGGGACGGCTCCACTTACAGTTATAAAATAGTCACAGGGGTGTGACTGTACAGCATAGGGAATATAGTTGACAATATTGTAATAACTGCATGGTGACAGATGGGTACTAGACTTATGGTGATCACTTCATAAGTTATATAAATGTCAAGTCACTATGTTGTATACCTGAAACTAATATAATACGGTATTGCAACTATATTTTAATTTTTTTTAAAGAAGAGGGAGGATGGAAGTACTGGGAGGCCACCTGGTTCTGAAGCCTCACTGACAGATTCAGATCTTTACTACCGCGAAACCTTGAAGAAGGTACCCTACTTGGGTATGTGCAGAGCACTTAGAGCCTGCCTGATACATACGACTGCTCAGTTATTCTCAAGGAGAGAGGCAGGACTGTGGCCTGTGGCCTGCTCAGGCCTGTCCTGCCATCCGTAGGGATAGTCACCCTGGCCTACCTCAGTAGAGAGCGAGCCACTGGAAATAAGGTCTATGCCTTTCAACCTCTCTCCTTCTTTTGAAGACTACAAAACTGATTGAAATAGAGAAACATAAAAGTAATATAAGAAACAAGAAATTGCTGAGTCCATTTTTACTTTTGATATTATCATTGAATTGTCAGTGGAGTAAAAGCAAAAAATAAATAAAAGCTACATTAAAGAACCTCAAATAGAACTGTGGAATTAAATTCTATATTTGTTATTCTATCCAATATTAGGTTTATCTCTTCCTACTATCACCTATTTTTATATGCTATTGTATTTTGCTTTAGTCATTATAGTTTTATTAGATATTTTTATATTAAGTAGGTAGTGTTCTCTTCATGAATTAAAAAAAAAATTGGTTTTGGCTGTTCTTATCTGTTTTGTCTTTCAGTTGAATTTTGGAATCAGCTTGCCGGGGTCCAAAGATATCATATTGGGATTTTTTATTAAGACACACTGAACTTATAGATTTATTTATGAGAAATGTCATCTGTTTCAGTACCTGCCAAATAAGGGGTGACTCTTCTAAATTTGCCCTTTTTAAAATTTTATTGAGATGTAAGTTTCAGGACAGCAAGAGAGACCTGTCAAAGTGTTTTCCTGTCCTGGAACTGGTGTGGTTCACTTCGCCAAAAATGGTGGCAGAGACATTGGCCCAACTCAGCCACGTTTTATGGGTACCACTGCAAGACAGACCTCCTTTAATGTCCCTAGGAGAGAAGCACTGGGCTCTTCTGGGCATCACATTTTCACCATATCTGTAGCATTTCAGTGGAGACATAGACTGACATGGTTTCACTTTATTCAGAATGCTGAGGGGCAAGGACAAGCCACACAATCTCCAAAGATGCTTTGAGCAAAAGATACTACAGGTAATTGTTATTTTCTAGGAGATACTGATGCAACTTGCCTTAGTTAAAAAAAAAAAAAATCCCAATTGCTTCTCAAAAGAAGGATTGTGACATTATAATGTCAATGGATTTCAAGGGACTGCAATTTTAATATCTTTGCAAAATTGGGTCTTCCCAATTAATACATGGAATATCTTTTCATTTAAATCTTCTCTTACGTATAGATAGTTTAAGAGTTTTTCTCAAACAGATTTTACATATTTATGATGGACTTATTTCTGGATATTTTACAGATCAATTTTCTGTTGCTGTTGTAAATATTTTCCCCCAACCCTCAGCCATGTTTCTAGTTATTTTGGAGTATAGGGAAGCTAAGGATAGTATATCTATCCTCTCTATTGAATTCTTTTTCTAGTTCTAAGTCTTTCTGTTCACTCTCTTGTATCTTTCCAAGGTGTAAACACTTTTACTCTATATTGGACATATATACATACAGTAGCAATACTATTAGACACCTTTGTGTTCTTCATGACTTTAAGGCTAAAATTGACAACCTTTACCTGCAAGTGTGATGTGTGTTGGAGGCATCTGGAAAGACAGTAACTTTACCAAGTTAAGCAAGCTCTCTTCTTTTACTTACAGAGTATAAATTAAGTTGTGCCAGCCTATCTTATTAGTTAATATCTTTTATTTGTTTGTACACACATATTTCTTCGTAAATAACTGGAAGAATCCTAATGATTTCATGAGCAAACTTTTAGTGAACACCATAAGGTTACTCATGACAATTATGCCCTCAGAAATCAAAGGCAAATTCCATCAGAGTTTGCTCTTATACATTTTCAAAAACAGCTTTATTGAAGTCAAACAGACATACAATAAACCTCACATGTTTAAAGGGCACAATTTGATAAATTCCGACATGTATGTACCTGTGAAATCACCACCAAAATCAAGACCACATCATCACCCTCAAAAGGTTCTTCAAACCCCGAGAATCCCTCCTTCTTGCCCTTCCCTCCTGCTCCTGCCTGCCCTAGACAATCACTGATCTGCTTTCTCCCGCTGTATATTAATTTGCATTTTTAAGAATTTTGTACAACATGGAATCAAACAACATATACTCTTTTTTGTCTGGATTCCTTCACTGAGCATGATTATTCTGAGACTGTTGAGTATATCAATCATACATTCCTTTTTATTTCTGAGCAGTACTCCACTGCATAGATTTACCATAATTTGCTTATTCCTGCACTTATTGTTGGACTTACACCTTTTTGATGGTTGCTGAAAAGACTGTATATATATAAGACACTGTCTTTTTTTGAACATGAAAGTCTTTTATCAGATAAAATGAGATGTATGTTTCTGAGACTATATTAAAATTCACTGCACTATACAATTGTAACATGTTTCTAGTTTCCAGTTTCTTCTTGGACTTCTGCTCTTTTCATAGTTTCTTCTTTTCTTTGAGTCACTATGGTATTTTGCATTTCCTGGAAAAAAAGCCCCATCCATTTCATCTAATTTTCAAATTTACTGGAACTTATTATTAGTCATCTTACAACTGTCAGAATGAGATGCTTTAAATTAAATGCTCGCTTAAAAGACAAACAAGTAGCTGCTTATGGGAAAGTTGCATATTTAGTCATTAAATAATGTAGAGAATTAATTTTTAATGTAATAGCTAATTAACATGAATCCTAACAACTTTTATTAAATGAATGCTACCGATTTATAAGATTTTAAAAATATGCCTGTGGAATATATGTTAATTCAGTTAGTCCTTTCAGACTGATATATAATCTGATTAGCTAAACTAGCTTCATGTATCTCTTCCTGTCTTCATCATGTCTGTGGGAGAACTCTGTACACATTTTCATTTCCATTTGTTCTTTCTAAATAGCATGGAATCAGCACTTCTTTGATACTGCTATTCTATTTCTCTTTTGGTGCATGTCTGGCATAGACTGGTGGACATAATTTCAGTGTATATTGGGATGACTCAAGCATGTCACATGCATGATCTCCCAATAACTGGCTGTCTTTGCTTGAGGATCCTGAGGCTCAGAAGTGAGATAAATATAAAACCAATGTCAGCAATCCCAGATGACTTATTATATAATTTATGGCATTTTAAAAGCAGCCTGAGAAAATGGCAAGAATACAAATTGGCAGTTTATTAAATATTCAGATCTTAACCAAGAGATAATCTTACTCAAACATGGCTTTTCCAAATTCTTAGGAACCCAGTATTTAAGAAAATTCTTTCAAAGTTCAGGTAAAAAGAAGGCAAACTCTTAATCCTGATTACAATTTTTTAGTAATTTGAAATCAAAAGCAGTAACTAGTTAGAAAAAATTTAACCCAACCATAATTAGCTCAAAAAAGTTATTTATTATTTTCTGGTAAACTTAAACTTGGTGATTGGATTTCATTAATAGCTGTTTATTTTTATTATAGTTTCCAAATTCTGAAAATAGCCATTACTAAATTACACACTGGGAATATGATGAAACATCAAGTATTACATTAAAAAAATCTTATGTCTTAAGGCCTAAGACCTGAGTTCCTGTTCCATAAGGATACAGAATCATAGACAAGATCCCAATGAAGGAGAACTGAGAACATTAAAGGACATATATTTAAAACCAATTTAGCAACTCTTAGAAACATGATCGTACCATCGGGGCACAGTTTAAGGCCCTGAAAATGTTAACTCTAAATGCAAGGAAATCTGAGAGAACAAATTTCTCCAGAGGTGGCCAAAATCCCGATCTATTTATATATATCCTCTGAGTTACTTTTTCTTTAACAAACTTTGGCTCTTGAAATATTTCCCTTCTGGGCAGTACTGCTAGGTAGATCATGAGTGCTTCTGGACAACAAGATGTCTATCAAGGCAAAGTGCTACTCAAAGTATTCCTTAGTATTACCACCATTACCTGCTGTAGACACAGACCTTAAACATCTTGTTTAGTCTTAACTTCCTTATCTTGTTATCCTATATCGAATCTAGCTTATGATTCATTTTCTTGCCCCATTATGAACCTGGCAACGGCCTTTACCATTACCCTCTCCAAACTCTTGTTCGTATATTTTTATTCCTGGCTCCGGTGTCTTGTTGATCCATTCTACCCATCACTCTCTAGAGGGAGACATCCAGAAAGCTATCATGATGAATGGTACAGAGAAACTAAAGGCTGAAGTGTGTGAATTCAAATTCCAGAAGTCTTGGTCAAGCTGAAGCAATGAGTTCCTACTTTGATTTCTTCCTCTGTTTCAAGCAAAAGAAATGACACACAAGAAAAATCTAAAAAGATATGGGGATGCCAGAAAACAAGATAAGTATATCCTTAAACCAGAAAGGAAATAGAAATGTCAACGAATGGGCAGACTGGCTCCAGGTCCAAGAAACAGACAAAGGCAACATTAGTCTGGAAGGAAAAGGAAACTAAAATCTCTCCAGGTGAAATGGGGGCGGGGATGCATTCACTCCTTTAAAAGCTGAGAGGAATCTTCTCTTCCTCACGAAAGAAGTTATAAAAGAAATAACAACTATTGTGACCTCTTCTGGGGCTTAAGGACACTGAGGCCTTGGCACAGGACCCAGGAGGGTACAGACAT